CATGATCTAATCTGTGCTTTACAAATATCTGTTTTGCATCTGTGTGAAAACATATTGTAGTATCATCAAAACACACAATGCTAGAAATTTTCACCCCCTAGAAGTAAATGTTTTCCCCTCTTCCATTTGGAGATAATATAAGTCATTTCATAAATGCATAATCTATAGTAGAAAGAATTAACATACATTGCCACCAAATTCAGCAAATCAAGTCAATAATAAACTCAATGGAATAACACTATCAAATCCTAACAGTAAGTCAACAAGCAGATACGAGAAAGCTTTCTTACTGGAAAGCATACTAAGGTCATCAACATTCACTTAAAAGACCACTCAAAGCACCAGGAAATAAGACAAAAAGCTTTGAGACTCAGTGTGAATGGCAAGAAATGACAACATCCTGTCCAACATATGACAGAGACAAGATTGTTGAGAAATGAGATCATAAGTTGCTTTGGAGCGATGTAATAAATACTAACAATAAAAATTCCCTGATGTTTCACAGCAGGCCTTCATCAGGGAAAAAAAAAACCTCAAAGGTTTCAATTCATAGTCATCAATTAATTAATCAACACAGTATCTTTCCAAGGAAAGGCCATAAAACTTACTAACAGAGAGAGAGTGTTGAGTAATTTGCCCCAAGTCAGAAAATGAAGTGAGAGCCAAAGATTAAAATCCCTAAATTCTCATTTCAGCCCTCCATCTATCATAACTCAGTAAAATTTTCAAAACAATGAACTAGAATCTAAGTAGGTGAAAGCCTCATGATATCTGAAATTATAGGTGGGGTAAAAATCAAGTTCTTGCTCCCAAGTAACCCTATAAAGTCAAACAGTAATGTGCAGTCAGTGCACACTGGATCATGTTCTGAAAGTTCATCTTAAAGTTATAAGTTTGGAGCTAAGAATGTACTTTGCCATAGAATTATTGATAAAAAATGATAGTAAGGTTATAAGAAGAGTATGTAAAATTCTATTTTATGTCATTTAGAGGCTGTGAGATACAACTCTAAGACCCTGCTTATCTTTACACTCCCCCCACCCAAGGGAGCTCCTAAAAATTTATAAAAGTACTTCATTTCTTTGCATGGGTCTGGAACAGACAAGGTGATCCTTGTAGATAGCTCAGCTCAGCACAGTCTCTAGCTAGATACATTTCACTATGGTTGGGATGCATATGAAATGCTAGTTTGTCCACAGAAAATGATGCCCAGAAACCACTGAGGGTACCAGCATACCCCATGCACTGCTCTCTGTGGCTTTCAGACACTATTTCCTGTCAGCCCAGGTTCCCATCTCTTATCAGTTGCAAAAATTCAAACAAGGAGCAAGAGTGGCTCACCATACAAGCTACATGTATGATGCAGCTAAGAAATAATTCTGGTGTACTATATATTACAAATAGTACTCTAGAAATCAAACATCATTTACAATTAGATAAGATGTGGGGAAAGAGGCCACATGCCAAAGTGGAAAGAGGATTAGACCTAAGGTTAGGAAGACTTGTATTCAAATTCCACTTCTGAATGAATAACATGCATGCAGTGATGCATGTATATACCAAACACTATGCTAAGCAATGAGGATACAATAAAAGAGCGAGACAGTCTTGGTGCTTGAGGAGCTTACATTCTAATAAGAGAAACAACACATACAGGAAAGCGGTGACCCAGGAAGTTGTTTTGGCCTGGGAAGTCACAGGAATGGTGAGTGGAGTCAGTAATTTGGCATACCCTTCCAGAAGAAGCACTTATTCGATTACAGTCTGTGAGACAAGATAGACACTTGCGAAAGCAAGATCGATGGCACTAAAAAATCATCATCTGAGTGGATGGCTGGGAGCCTGAGGTTGGCACAACATGGTGGGCTACCTGAGTCTCTGCTCCCTGACTCACCAATCAGAACAGCATAGCCTAGGAGAACCTCGACATTTATAGGTTGTGTCAATATGGGGAAGTCACAACTTCTCTGAGCTTGTGGTCAAAGAGTCTCTAAGATCATAAGCTATATATAGGTTGCAAACTGCCACAATCAAAGAATTTCCACCTAGAAATTACAGGAACTTATTGTATTGATATTAAAATATAGAAAGTCTTTGTTAAAATCCTCCTGAAATGCCTTGTGATATGTGATGGGGATGTGACTGGATTCTCCAAAGCTCTCCCAAGGCTCTGGTAGCTCCTACCACACTCCAAAGGCTTTGAGTACAAGTCTGACGATGGACTAGTTTTCCAAGAAGTAACCTAGCCTAATTCAAAAAGGTACAACACCAAAAGATTGGCCACTAAATAATCAATGTTTTGCCCACAACAACTCACAAAACCAAAATACTGATACCAGCATTCTTTGTGGAAATAAAGAACTGGAAATTAAGTGGGTATCCATTTGGGAAATGAGTGTAATGGAATATTTATATGAGCGTAATAGAATATTATTGTACAAGAAATGACAAAAGCTATCAATAAAACATGCTTAAAACAACAACTTATTAACCATCTGCCAAGATCTCAGATGAACTACAACTTTCACAGGCAGTGTGTCCACAGCAATGAAATCACAGATTTTTCGAAGCATCAAAATAATACATGAAAGCATTTTATAAACTGTGTTATGCAAATGTAAGATATTATTGTTACTATTATTGCTGCTGGTGATGATGTTATTTATAACAGTTTCCATAGGAAAAAAATGACATTGTTATTGACATAAGTGGTCTATTCCAAAGGTATATCCCAAATACCCCTAATATTTTCCTTCTCTTCCTTATATGATTGCCCTTGTTGATCTCATCTATCCATGACTTTGATTGTCATCTCTATGCAGATGTCTCCCAAATCTATATATGTAATCCCAGTCTCTCCTGAGTTCCTGCACTACATGTCCAATTGCTTTTTTCCAGCAAATGAATGTCTCTCTAGCACCTCAATCTCCTCAAACTCTAATGGAGCTGAAAGACAAAATAATGCATTTTCTCATACAAATAACATTATTCATGGGGGTTATGGGTTCCAGGAGAGCACATAAAAGCCAATTTACCCAAAATTTAGCTGAACCACAGTACTGATAATATTATCGAACCTAACCACCATATAGCATTGTTTCTAAGAGAAAACTGCCTTCCAAATTATGACTGGGGGTGCTTGGTACATATTTTCCCCTGTTCCATTTTCCACTCTCCCCTCCTTTAACATCCCGCTATGGGCCACAGCTGGAACAAGGCACTACTGGCAAGCTGCTTCATATCCCATAGAGGCTCATTTATTCCAATACCCTTAACTAAAAGCCAATACTAATCTTCCCCAGCCATTCTTTCTTTCCCTTTTCCTGTCCTGGCTAGACAGTGAATTACCATTCTCAACCCTGTCAGAGGGAATCCAGAGTCACCTCTATACTCTAACTCTTTGATCCACTTACCCCTTCCCAATGACACTGGGCTGCTTCTCCACTGGAGCAGATACCACTAAACATCACAAGGACTCCTGGCCTTGTAACTGAACCTTTTGGGCCTTCAGGCCTTTCCATCTGCCCTACAGCTTGACTCTCCTACAAGTATTATCTGCCCCAACTGGATTGTGAGCTCCTTGAGAGTAGGGACTATCTTCTTCTATTTGTATCCTCAACATTCAGTACAGCGTATGGCACACAGTAAATGCTTGGTAAATACTTTTTCATTCATTCACTCAATGATCCAGTGACACAAGTCTACTACATTCAAGGGTGGAGAGACTTCCTAATCCTGGGTCAGCTCTTTAAAAGGCTATGGTACTAAGTGAAAGGCTCTAGGGAGACAGTTGCTCTTGAGTTGAATATTTCCACTTGTTCACATTTAGAAGCTTGGTAAAGAGAGTCAGACATGATGAGTAGGAAGGACTCTCTGATAGTTATGGGTCCTGAAGGCTGAGGAAAAGGACTCTTTCAGATGATGTGGGCAGAAATTATTCTAGTTACTTAAGGATAAGGATAATAGAAAGGGATTAGTTGTAGCTATTTTTAAGGACAGATTATTCTTTAATGAAATATTGCCTCTACCCCCATTTTGCAATATAAAAACAGCTTTTCCCCTCAGACATCTCAAAAGCACTTTGTTTTGGTGTCATATCCACATACTTACTACAATCTCCTTCAGGGCAGGGATTATGCATTATTCAAACTTTGTAACTTCTAGATACCTAGCATAGTGTTCTATAATACAGGTCCTTATAAAATGCATTGTTTGTTTTATCATAGGTCTTGAAAAAGATACCAAAAGAACTGTGTCTATTTCAGACCACAGAGCATAATTTAAGCACTTTGCTTCCTTATGAAAGACAATTACAATAAAACCCCACCATAGTGTTAATATAGGCAAAGACATAAAATACTACCTTATAGACCTATGGTATTAAAGAGAGGCACTATATACAACCACTACGTACATAGAGAAATGACCTGAACTTGGTTTAAAAAAAATCCAAATTCACAAATAAAGCCATTTAGGGATGATGATAACTCTGGGCAGTTAACGGTTTTTATTTCAGTTTTTTGAAGATTCCTTTAAAGAATAAGAAATTCCTCCTAGTGCATTTATTTGAGAAGCTGTGACCTGAGAGTGCTAGAATGACTAGAAAAAGGAAATCACAGGGAAATGAAAACAAATTATCATTTCAGAGATGATTTATGTCAATACAAAAATAAGATTTGATTAGTTAAAATTGAATATACAAAAAAATTTTTGGAGAATATTACATAAAATGACAGATTTGTAAAAGACAATTCAAGTGGTGTGGATGAGCTTTTTAAAAAGTTTTAAAGATAATTTTACCCACTCTACCACATTGCCAATCCTAAATTAACCAAATTCAACTACCTTCCCAGACAACTTATTACTAGCTTTAAATCCAAGTGTGCCATTTCAAGGAGCAAAGTTCAAACATAACACTTACTATTTTGGTTTTTGGGCAGAAGGGATAGGGCCAGAAAGCCAAGGGTTTTTAATTGCCTTGAACTCAAAAAACTACATACCTGTGTTCTGTGAGAACATTTACTGCTGACGGGTGATTGGCACAGTATGCAAGGTACAAAGTTTTCATTTGTGGCATCAGATTTAGAAAGCAGCCTCCAACTCTCTGTTGAGCTTCAGGCAACCTAGAGATAAACAACATAAAATTAAATAATCATAAGTTTCAAAATCAAAAGTGAAGGTGCTTTAACATTTAGGCAAGAAGCTCTCATCTGATCTAACTTATCATTAATTAAAAAAAGATGCACGACAAAATTTGATTCATATCACTGCTTAAATAGACAACAATAATTATATTCACAAAACTATTGATTAAACAGAGTGATAAGTAATTTCCTATTCATCCAGTAGTTAAACAACCAGTAATCTCAACCATCGGGGAAGGAGGAGGGGGGGAGTTATGAAGCTAGAAAACTTTTAAATACTAAACAAAATAACTATCACAATGCCTTACTTTAGAATGTGATATTAAACAGCTACTTATTTATAAAGCTATTTATCTGTTTTTTCTCAGAAATTCACTGTCCCATAGTGATTGTTCCAAATTTCATCTCTCCTCAAGCCACCCATATATTCCCTCCTCCAGACTTCTCAAGTAAAGATGTCACTTCATTCTTTGCCAAAAAACTGAAGCCACTGTCAAACTCCCTCCTTCTCTTCTCTTCTTACATCTCCTGCTTTCCCTATCTCACATCACTCAGACATCTTGTGCCATTACTTCCTCTATCACTCTTTTTTAGTTGATAGGTGTTACTTAATTATTTTCAGTTCCAAAATCTCTCCCTCCTGCCAACTTCTTCCCCTACCCATCAGGAAGGCAAGAAATATGATACCTATTATATATATTAAGTCATGCAAATCATATTTCCAAATATGCCGTGGGGGAGGGGAGGTTGCAAAGAAAAATAAAATAAAGGGGAAAATATGCTTCAATCTAAACTCTGATTTCATCTGTTCTCTCTCCAGAGGTAGATAAGCATTTTACCCTCCTGTGGACCTCTCTACATATTGTTTGGTCATGAACTCTCCCTGTCTATACATCCTATAAGTAATTTCTTCTGTGCTCCCCTAATTTACTTAAAATATCACCCTTCAGGTCTAAATCATGTAAGCACCTTGAACTTATCCTGGCGTATAGTGTGAGATGTTGTTCTATGCCTAGTTTCTGCCAAATTACTTTCTAATGTTCCCAATAGTTTTTGTCATTACTGAGTTTTTTTGCCCCAATAGCTGGGATCTTTAGGCTTATCAAACACCAGGTTACTATGCTAATTTACTTCTTATGTTGTATACCTAATCTATTCCATTGATCAATCACTCTTATTTATTATCTAGTACTAAACTGTTTTGATGATTACTACTTGGTAATATAGTTTGAGGTCCAGTACTGCTAGGCTTCCTCAATTCACTTTTTTCTTTCATTGATTACCCTGATAATCTTGACCTTTTGTTCTTCCATATGAATTTTATTTTGTTTTGTTTTTTCTAGTTCTCTAAATTAGTCCTTTGGTAGTTTAATTGGCATGGTACTACATAACTAAATTTACTTAGGCAGTATCATCATTTTTATATTGGCCCACCCCTAAGCAATTAATATTTCTCCTATTATTTAGATATGTCTTTATTTGTTGAGTATTTTGTAATTGTGTTCATATAGTTCCTGTGTGTGTCTTGGCAAGTAGACTCCCAAGTATTTTATACTGTTCGCAGTTATTTTAAATGGAATTTCTCTATCTCTTCCTTCTGGGTTTTGTTGGTAATATGGCTGGCTGGCTGGCTGGTTGGTTGACTTGCTGTTGTCCTTTGTTCTCAAAGAAGACCAAAATGACAAGTCAAGTTATAGTGTGTCCAAATGATTTGGCTGATCAGAGCAATATGAGCTCAGGATGCTCTACCACAGGTTGGGCACAAATAGTCCATGTGAACGTCTGGAGTAGATTCAATAAATTTGCACATCTCATATTCCTTTTGAGCTACTGCAATTCTACCTTGCTCATACAGCACAGCACCTTCTCTCAACTACTCAGCGCTGAAGGAGCCACACTGATTAGTGACAAAGACTAAATAGGCTTAAACACTTTAGTGTTCTCAACAGATCATCATCAATCAATTCTAAAGCCATCGACCATTTAACTCAGGTTGAAGTCAATCTCTCTTTAGACAAATTTCCAACTGAAGAAAAAGTTATGAATGCTATCAGAAATTTTTGTTGAACTTGTATCCAATCTACATTTTCCTTTGATATTTTGCACATTTAGATGTTTTCATCACTGTCTTTTTCTGAGTTTGTGTCTTGAGTTTCTCTGTCACAATAGCAACTTTTTATGACCAGGTACATTTTCTGTAGTTCACTCATTTTTCTAGCCTATATTGTGACTTTCGATTTTATATTAGTGTAGGCTCTGCTCATCTCTGAGGATAAGGGAAATGGAGGAGGGCAGGCCTTAGTTTCTGTCTTTTATGAGCTTCTTCTGCTTTCACAGCTCAGTGAGAGGCCTATAAGTTATCAGTGCTTCCAAAATGGTATAATCTGGATTTGCAATCTGCCCTCCTGGTCTGTACTCTAGTTCTTAGGCAGGTAGGACCCTTCTCCCCCGTGAAGTTTTGAAGAGAGAAGTTTTGAAGAAGGAGAGCTATAGGATAACTAGCAGAGATAGTATGATCAAATGACTTTTTAATGGATGGAGAAGACATGAACATATTTATAAGAAGAAGGGAGAGACTGAAGATAAGAGAGTGGGGGCAATCTGGAAATGACACAGAATAGGAACAAAGGAATATGTAGAGATGGCCTGGGCAAAGAAAAGACTACTTCTTCATCAAATGTGAGAGTGATGGGGAAAGATCTGAGATGGGGGAGTAAAATCAGCATTTTCGTTGAGCTCTCCCAAACACACCCCTCTCTGACAACTTTCAAAGGGCATCAAACTGAACTCTGAATGAGAAAAGCAACAAAAAGAGTGAATCATTTTTCTAGCCCAGAGCAGCTTAGAAAGACAGAAAAAGAAGTCTGCAGATCCTGGGGTTGGTGTTGATTGGGAGAAAGGTACAGCAGAAGCTACACCAGCTATGCGCTATAGCAGTAGCAGTTACAGGGAAAAATGCCCAGGGACTATAAGGGGAATGAACTCCCAGTCAGAAAGAAATTCTAGAGGACGCCTGTACTAACACTGGGTGCAGGAGAGGGTGCCATTTAACAGTCTTGTTGCCCATTACCCAGGTTTTGTCATTTCTACCTTCAAAACATGCAAGTCCTCACCACTTCACACCTAGATTACTACCATAATAATCTTCTGGTTGGTCTTCATGCCTCAAGTCTGTAATACGTCTTCCACTCAGCTGTCGGATTGATCTTCTCAAAGTACAGGTCTGATCTTACCATCCTCCTATTCAATTAACTTCAGTAGCTCCCTAGAACCTCTAAGATCAAATATAAATTCTTCTGTTTGGAGTTTGAAATTTTTCACAACCTATCCAGTCTTCTCAGCCACTACCTCCCCTCAACGTTCTCTATGATCCAGCAACAATGGCCTTTGAGTTATTCCTCACCATGACACACCATTTCCAGGATCCATGCCTTTACACTGGCTCCCCCCCATGCCTAAAATGCTTTCCCTTCTCACCTCTCCTTCCTGACCTCCCTGCCTTCCTTCAAGACTCAGCTCAACACAGTCTCTTACAGAAGTCTTTCCTAGTCTCCTCTCTCCCCTCTAGTTGCTAATGCTTTCCTCTCTGGAACTGCCTTCTATTTACACAGTACATATCTTGTATGTACCTAGTTATTTACATGTGGTCTTCCTCATTAGAACCTCAGCTCCTTAAGAACAGGATCTATTTTTGCCTTTCTTTGTAACCCCCAAGCCTTAGGACACTGACTGATACAAAGTAAGTACTTCATAAAAGCTTGCTGACTGACTGAAATGACAGCTGACAGCTAAAAATGCACAGAAGTATGGGGTCACTAAACAAAGAACAAAGAGCCTCACAGACTTTGATAGTTCCTAAAGACAGTATAATAAAAGCACTGTTGTTCATAAATTATGACCTCATATCAAGAACAAGTTATATTAAATTCATTATTTGCAGTATGATAAAGCACAAAGGTACTTAATTTTTTTTTAAAAGTTTTCCTTTAAAATTGGTTTTAAAACTGCTTGATTTACTGCCTTCCTCAAGGAGGAAGGGTTACAAGTCTTAGCTACTGAAGGGATAAGAACACTTAACCTGGAAAAATCATTCTTCCAAGACACCTGATTTTCGTACTATGCCCCTTGTTACTAAATCTCTAAGCTGAGGAAAGAAAAAACTTTCCTCCCATCACAGACACAGAAACCAAGATTTCTCAGTCAAACTCTGTTATCATGAATCAAAGATTACTTTCACAGCAAAACATCAAGCTTATTTACCAACTCATTTTTGCTATTAAGCAAAGGATTTCTGATTTCAATATGCCAACTAGGACTATAAATCAGCAAACAAAAATTCTTTGTTCAATATTTTTACGTCCATAGAAAATACAAGTCTGTAATTAGATCTGCCAAAGTCTAACTAAAGCTCTGAATATGTAAGTGCTACTGTTGGCAGTGATAGAGCAAAATTGATTATTCCTTCTAATAAGTGGTTTATCCAAAGTGAAAGGATGTTCCATTAATTTTCTAACCACTACACTAAAGGAAACAGTAGGACAGAAAAGCAAATTCATCCTGTTCCAAACTGGCTCCTTAACATACAAAGAATTGCAAATTTGATAAAAATATTCAGTAGAATTCAAATTCAACAAACATGCTATTGTTATTAATAGCTGACATTTATTATCACCTTACACTTTGCAAAGTGCTTTATATACATTATCTCTGACTCTCAAAACCATAAGGAATGCAATAAAATTATCATTATCTCTATTTTATAGAGAACAAGAAGAATTCAGAGATTACTTAAAATCCAATGGCTTACTAGGAAGCAGAGACAGAACTGGAACTCAGGCCTTCACTCCAAATTCAATGCTCTTTTTTTTTTTTAAACTAAATCACAGCTATCTCCTTGTATATTAAACAATGCAGTATGTACAGTGGGTACAAAAACCAAGATAAAAGAGATGTGGTTCCTGACTTTTGGAGGTTATTTA